AGTTGTTTTTTTCTGTCGTTTGCTTTGCATTGTAGAAGATTGAGAAGGTTTTGTTGATATTTGACCTAAAAATACAAACAACATTAATATTAAATACTGAGTGTGGCAAAGGATATTATCAAGGAAATCATCAACCTTTTCTTGACTTAAGTTAAATAAAAGTATGTCGAGTATTGTAAATATATGAAAAATGATGTCGCCCGTAAATGTAAATTCTTCATACTTTTATAGCTTTAGAACGATAATATTCAGTTGGACTATACAAGTAGTCTATGATCAGAGTGCAATGAATTATCAAGTTGAATATATATAGTCGCTAGTGTTTTTGGGCTCGATGAAACTTAAAATCATTGGATCAAACTTTCCCAAAAAAAATCATTCAATTTTTTCTCATTGTAATAAAAATCGAATCGATTTCTGATGTTAACAAGTTTTCGAAATATCTTCAAAACTAATGCCATCTACATCAGAATTTTATTCATATCTCCTAAACTGTCTTCTATCGGATACTAAACCAAAGATATTTGAAATCAGAAAAATTAAGTTGATTTTTCATGAAATTTTCATTCAATCATTTTGAGTTTCACCCAACTAACAAGAAAATGTATGCCACTGGCATTTTTTGTCACGTTTCATGTCATCAGGCCACATACGAAAAGATAAGCGAGAAAATAACTATCAAATTAAGTTTACACGTGTCCTCTCAGACAGAAAAGAAGACATTCAGTATCGGTGTATCGCCAACATATGCACTTGTATATATCCTTGCTCGACTTGATAATAATAATTGAGGCGTAGAGAGTATGGGTCTGGATGTCAGTGCGTGGGTGTGGATGAAGATGCAGAGATTATTCAAATCTGCACGCCACACTCACGCCCTATGTGAAAGTCGTCATCATATCGTGATTTAAGTTTTGTGTGCGATATATTGAGAGCAAGAACTGTAATTTCTTTTATATAAAGGTCTACATTCTTCTTTGTTTTACTCTTGTAATTGATAAGAAGAAACGCAACACATAAAGAGTCCAACAATAAAAACAATCCATCATAAACATATAAATAATACAGAGAAGTCTATATACTTGACAGACAGGTAACTCTATCTAGAATGAACCAATCTTGACAACTGTCAATATTCCATGAAGTCATTCATTAGGTATGCTTCTAAGTGAACCTTACTGCGAACGAATTTAAGATTGATAAGTTCGGTATACTGGTGGATAGAGTGCATCAATTAAAAATTTCTCATGTAACACAGTTTAACAAAAGTAAGGATGTAAGTGTTGATGTTTGGCAACATCATACATACAAGCACATCAACATCCACATTCTCTTGACGAAGTTGTTAATTCAAGATTTACGATTGAGTTGACTATTACATGCCTGTTCGTTTGCTATCATTTCTTTCTCTAATAATAGCATATGACTCACAGAATGAAGAGACTACTTCTTTGCATCGTATATATGTTTTTTTTCTCTACAGGTAGAACAGCCTTTTCTTTCATTTTTTCCAATTACAATGTTGTTGTTTTGCATACTATTTTTTAATACTTACTTATTTCATCTGTTATTGCTTATTTGCTGTGAAACTCAGAGAAGTATTAGCAACTATGACATTGCGGAGTGTGAAGGTGGATCCATCTGATAGAAAAAGAAGACCCACATCGACACCCACACACCCTCTACGCATAAGTTTTCACAGCCACGTGTATTTTTTTCGTTCTTCTTGCACAGAGAGGAAAAAAGCAATTTTTCTTTTGTGTTCGACCAAAATTTAAAGTGTAATGCAAATAAATGACACTTATGAGCCATTGCATGTAAGCCACGACCAGAGTTGCCGTTTTTTGTTTTTTTTTAACCCATGGGTAACCCAACCCATAGCCGGTAGTTGATTGGGTGGAAATCAGTTCAACTATTTTTTTTTTATTAACCCATGGGTTACAGGGTTGGGTTGAGCAGCTTAACCCTACCCATTGGGTAACCCATTGGGTTAACCCTGGGTTTTATAATATTTGAATTTTGCATTAAGTATTATTAAGAGAAATGTAAGTTCAAATCCCGCTGTATAAATTGTTAATAAAATGAAAAATCATTTTATAGGATATACAATAATAGATATTATTTTTATTTTCATATGGATAAAAAGATAATCTTCACCGTGGTGGGTGTGGGTGTAGCTAGAAAATAGAACATCAGCACCCACACCAACACTCCGACGACGGAGAAAATAAAGAGAAAAAAAGAGAAAATAAGTTATTGTCTTTTTACTCTTTATTCTCTCTGTCGTCGGAGTTGATTTTACACTTCAGAATGTAAATTTCATATAACTTATATCGAATTTACATTCGATCAACCGACCAAAGAAAATTAAGGCACTGATAAATCACATACGCCATATCGTAACGACACCTTCATTAAATAAAATTTTCTATAATTATTCTATAGAAACAGAGTTAATTTCATGGGTTCATTCAATGGTCAACCCTGGGTAACCGGACAGGGTTTGAATCTGAAATTGGGTGGATGGGTGGATTTTGAGATTTTTCAAATGTCGACCCAACCCACCGGATTGGGTTAGAAGCTAACCATTGGAAGCTCCAACCCAACGGGTTGGACGGATTAACCCACCCATGCGACACCTCTGGCCACGACCTGGAGTGCTCAATCGACCATCTCCGATTTTGTTCATTTTTATATATGTGATAGAGGAAAGTGTTTGATGATGTTTGCCGAAAACTGCATGGTAAAATATTGATCCACTGGGTTTTTATTGAACTTCTACGAAAACTCTCAAAATCCTCAATCATGAGAAAACCGTCCATTGTTACGACTGTATCTCGAGAACGGCTGAACAGATCGAGCTGAAACTTTCTATGAACACTCACAGCTAATGATGCTATCATCAGAAAAAATTTCAAGCGAATCACTTGTACCATTGGTTTTCTGCAAATACTCTTTGGAGGGATGAAAATGCTAATTTTATCCAGTTTTGGGATGGGTGTGGGTGTGGGTGTGGGTGTGGGGTGTGTGTATGGGTGGGTGTGGGTGTGGGTGCGGGTGGGTGTGGATGTGGGTGAGTGGGGTGAGGGTGTGGGTGGGTGTGGATGTGGGTGGGTGTGGATGTGAGTGTCATGTGGGTGTAGATGAAGACTTATCACACATCCACCCGCACACCCACAGCCACACCCACACACCCACCCACACCCACCCTTTGTTAAACTTGCAAGTTAATTAAGCAAGATATATTTAACACTGATGTCAAATTATTTCTAATTCTTTTAACTTTTCTTTTTCATGCTCATTTTCTATTAATATTTTTCTATATAACATAAATTTATTCTTTTTGAATTCATTTTTTACATTGTATTAATCGAAAATGGATTTATTTTTTAGGCCTGTAGCTATAGATAAATTTAATTATACTCTAATTTATGAAGCATTCTTTGGTGGTGTAGCAGCATTTCGTTCACCAGATATTCTTGGTACAAATAGTCATCCAACAGTTTATTGAGGATGGGGTGGTAAAGATGATGATATATATATTTACGTGTTGTTAAAAAATTAAGAAAATCAATAATACGTTATCCAATTGAAATAGCTCGTTATAAATTGATTCGTACATATGATCATGTAGCTGCTGAATTAAATCCACATGGTGTTAAAATATTAATGTCAAAATACGATTATAATCTTGATGGTATAAATACAACAAATTATATCGTACATAATATAGTTTTTTATAAATTATTTACATTAATTAATGTAACATTACCTGAAGAACTATTCGAACATATTCATACACGTTTAAATATAAAAAATAAAAAATAAAATAAAAAACCTGTTAGCGTCATCCCTACAGGCTTAAAATGTGAAACACAATATAGTTGTTGTTACTAATCATCAGAATATTATTTTATTCGATCTATCTGCGGGCCCATTTTTCATCAACTTGTACTTATCCTCTAGAACTCAAAAAGAAGGCAGTTTATATACTTTCATGAGAGCTGATTGATATATAATCGGTAAACATACATCAAAAACGTCTGTGACGATCTCTAGAGCCCTTTATCACAGTCTGTGATGAGTAAGGATTTTCTCTGGTACAGCCTGTGATGGATATGAAGTTTCTCTGTCACGATCTGTAGGGATAGAGGAGCACAGTGGACAACCAGGCGACAAAATCGATTTTCGAGATTCGAATCCATATCGTAGCTAGTGTTGAACCTACTACGGTGCTGCATTGAAGTGCATCTTGGATACCACTCTATAGAGAGTATGTAGTAAATAGCAGGTACCACAACGTAAGTAAAATAGATGAATATCATTAATAATACATATAAGTAAAACGTGTGTTTTAAATTAAGGATCTAGTTATATCCGTTAGTTGTTATGTAATTATACAGTGTTATGTATTTACTCTATATTACAGACCGTTTGGACTTCTGAAAGTTCTTTAGGCTATAATAAGATCAAAAACTTACCATCAGTATAGTGAAAAATAGTCACTGGCCCATAATGCAGTTTGTTTGTGAGATTTTGCGGGAGTTTAAGTTCGAGTTTTAATTTATCATTTGATAGAATGGGACATGATCTATCTTCAATAGAAGCGCAAAGACGCGCCATTGAACCCTTATCGGGATATTTGATTTTTACGGCATTTTGTAGCACAACACCGTGGTCCCCCTCAGGATCACCTGAAAAATCAACTTTCCAATTTCGACTTAAAACTTTGCGAATATTTAACATTTTGTGCTATAAGTGATATGAAAGAGAATATTTGTTTCTTATACTCGTATCTCGGGATAGAAGAACCCCCAAAATCCAAAACTTTCAGAATAAACTAATCGCATTGAGACCTTTCTCTGGACAAAGTTTCAAGCCGAAATTCGAAAATTGATTTTCCAGTTGAACTTGAGGGGACCACGGCTTTTTGATAAAAAATGCCATAAAAATGAAATATCTCGACAGAAATAAGCTGTAAGCACGAACTCTTTTCAGGATGTTCATAGCTCATTAGAGCCTATATAATGCATATCGTCTCGATTCAAAAGCGATTTGGCAACTAGAAATCTCTCCTGACTCCCTTTTTCTGTTCACTGTGGGGAGGTGGCTCCAAATTTCTACCCTATATACTTCAACACTCCATTTAGATCGTGTTTCACAAAATAATGCTATTGTTTGATTTTTTGAGAATAAGTTTATCTCATTACACTATCTATGATGATATTAAATTAGAATCTAGTTTTTAGTAAAAGCTTACAAAGGAAAGTCTTCAAGCGTGGGTTTCCATTTTTGATCGGATTTATGCCAGTTTGTAGAAATCAATGAGCTGATCATGATGATATAAAATCCGTTCTTCCTTATAGACTATCTTTAAGGAATTAGATCGATGTCAAATTCAGAAAAATGACTGGAGGTTGTTATTTTGGAAATTTTAATTGTTATGTTAATTTACTTCTCAACATTGACAATTTTAATACTGGATATGTCTTAATTCACTGTACATAGTAGAAAATTCAATTGGTTTTTTTCCAAAATTGCTCATGATTCTGTGAAAATACTTTTTTAAACACGTAGTAAACATATCTGGTTTTCAATACTCTATATTTTATCTATAGTTGAGGGTGTGAGTATGGGATACAGTCGACAGAAAAAGAGGACCAGAAGCAATTCTTGTAATGATTACCACTATTAACTTAATATTTTGTGTACATATAGCTGGCACTTCAGACTGATTATCTGCGCTTACCCAGTCTCCCTTACTCGAAAGTTTCCTGGCAAATGAAGTTTTCGGTTTTCAAAAGCTATCAATTAGCATAATAAAAAGTAGTTGCTTCATGATAATGGTTTTTCGCAAAAATGAGACAACAGTTGTTTTTTTTCCAAACTCTTAATACAATTATTAACAATTTATTATAGAAATCTACCATGGATTAATTTTTCTTCAAGATTCTGCAACAGATTATCATGAATAAATTATTTCAAACTTTTGAATCCTTGCAGAGAAAAACTAATAAGAGTGGAAAAATAACCTAAATATAAAATCTTAAAGACTTCTAATGAAAAGTTCACTATTTAGTGATAGTGGAGCACACACATACATATATGTCAAACATCTTTAGAAAAAATATATGTTTTAGTGGTTTATTAGTTGGAAAAACTCTCTTGATAGCAAATTAAATTCATCAAATTCAAATGTTCAAATTTGATGCAAGTCTAGTTGTGACATGTAAATGAGCTCACTAATGCTATGAAGTTTATCACAAAAAAAAACGAAATGACAAAAATACTTCCGATCGGTTTATAGTATTTCGTGAGTTTCAGCAATGTCTCTCTTGTATGTTGTAGAAAATTTTTATAACTATTGTGCGAAGTTTGAAATCGTTATGATCTGTATATCAAAATGAAATAAACCTTTCATATCATATCTCTAATGAGTAATAAATTTAATGCAAAGTTTGACAACATAAAAAGACAACGAGAAGAAAGATTTTTGTTCGAGGATGAATATCTCACAAGGGAACTTATGCATGATTTTTTTTCGTATATTTAATTTCTAAGGAAGAGGCAACGAACTGATTTTAAAATGAAATGACAAATATAAAATCTGAAGTTGGTGTACATTTACTTCTTTATTTATCTATTCGAAACTTGATGGACTAGAAACATGAGTAATTACTGTAAATAAATTGCCAACAAATTTCGATAGAAGATTACATTTGAAACACTATATTATCTCAACAAGAGTATAAGCGTGCATCTTTGCGCATCCATTGAAGATAGATGATGATATGCTCTAACAAATAACAAATTAAAGCTTGTATTAAAATTTCGGAAAAATAACTGTATTATTCACTAGTGATTATTTTTTTTCCAGCACTGAGTGTAATTTCTGGATCTTACTATAGCTTAAAGAAATAAAGAAGTATAAATGGCCTATAATATATAGTAAATACATAACACTGTATAACTATATAATAACTAATGAATTTAACTAGATCTTCAATTTAAAGCATACATTTTACTTGTATAGTTCTATTAATGATATTCATCTATTTTACGTACTTTGTGATACCTGCTACTTAATAGACACTCACTATAAACCATCATTCAAGATTCACTTAAATGCAGCACCATAGGAGCTTCAACACTAGCTATGATATACGCTCAAATCTCGAAAATCAATTTTGTCGCCTAACTGTCTCCATCGATCCTGATATCCATGTCTACGCCCATCCAATTTCGAAAATTACTGTAACATAAGAAAAATATTCTAAGACAATTATATAATAGATTTCGGAAATTGATGAAAAATTTCGGTATTTACTAAGAACTTCCAATATTAACTAATACTTTCTCAAAATTACTGATATTATCTATCTACTAAGGATAAATATACCATACGATTTTATTGTAAGTAAGTGCAACTCGAATCTTCAAGTCACGTGAATTTTAAGAAATGACTGAAAAATCACAAGAACTTCCGAAAACTTTTATATATTCAGGAATTGGTTTCTACATTTCTAAAGACATAACTTCATTTATAAGTCTTGATGCTAAAGAAATTTCTGTAATTTGCTTAGAATTTCTTTTCTATGAATTCATAATTACTGCAGCTTCCTAGCAATTATCTGCTTCTGTGTTAGTAATTTCGAAAATTGCCTTTCTTGAAAATCTGAACACTGCTACAAATACTGAATTTTGACGATTTTCCCATTCATCTATTATTCAATTTCATGCATTTTCAACTGCTAAAATTTGTCATCAACACACTATTCTTTATCAGTGCATCGCACAACATTTTTATTTCTTCAGAAAATTAGAAAGTAGAAGTGATAGAGAAGAATATCGATCTTCATGCATCAGTGGAATTCAATGATGACTCCGATATGTTTAGGCATGGTAGTCAATTTTTGAATATATCCAACTGCATTGACTTCAGGACCACCATCACCGAATGTTACTTGTTGCAACATACGAGCTAGTATTACTTTGAGTTCTAATCGAGCCAAATCTTGTCCAAGACATTGACGATGACCACTTCCGAATGGTAGAAATGCATATGGATGATAATTTTTATCTTCGTTAAGAAATCTTTCTGGATAGAACAACTCAGGATCAATTTCCCAATGATGAGCATCTCGAGCAAGAGCAGTTGTCGGAATAAGCACTTGATTATCTTTGTAGAGTGGAGTACCACTGTTAGGTAGATAATCGTCAACGATCACTGTACGACTTGTTCCTTCAATCGTTGGAGAATAATGAAGTACTTCATTGATAAAGCAATCCAAATAAACGAATGAGTCGAGACGATCCAATGATAAATATTGATCACAGCTATACTGCATCAGCTCTGTCTTGATCTTTTGTTGAATGCGTGGATATTTACTTAGATGATAAATAGACCATACAAGAGCGGTAGACGTCGTTTCATAACCAGCAACCATAAACATGAGCATCTCATCAAAAAGTTCCTTTCGTGATAAACCTGTCAACAGTAGAATATTAGAAGTAACAGAACAAAACTTCAAGATAAACTATGGTAATAGTTCAATTCAAAACAGCATATTCTATGAAGCTAACTGCTTTGTTGTTGAAACCGTGTTGAATTAATTTTTCTTTTGCACTATCGAACTACTAATCCACCTAGCGGTCTATTCTGAATAATTTCAGTTCGATCAGTGACCTGAGGGAAAAGTTCATACTTTGTACTGCAATAATTTGTATTAGATGGTGACGAAAATATATCTGTTTGTTCGAAAGATGGACACGAGCAATCATTTCCGTTGCAACTCCAGGAAAATGGAATTAGTCAATTATTAAAAATC